CCGACCTTATCTAGCCAAAATTGTCCTAGTGTAACGCTTCCAAAACACATAATTTATGTGCAAGTTGGTGCATGTAGGTACTTGCCCGAACTTGGGTTCTTGCAGGGTAGATGTTGCAATATTTGAAATTTCTCCGCAGCTTGGTTTTGCTTACAGCAAGAGCTCCTGTGAGCAGGAGGGCAGGCGAGCTAGCTAGCGAGCGAGCAAGCAGAACCCTACATACAAGAAAATTTCGTAATCCATTGAACAAAATATCTTGGGGTCACGTGAACGTCCGTCCGTACATCGTACGTCCGTCCGCCACTTGGGCAAATTGTCAAGCTTTGAAGCTCTTGTTTTCGTTCACAACACAATAAATTACCTCCTTTGCTTTTAAAATTTAAGGAAGAAACACAAAGCAATGTTTAAGAATTAAATCATGCATTAGGGGGAGAGTTTTCCTTTCCGTCGATGACGTGATGATCAAATGCGCCTTCGAATGTCTGAATACAGATCGCCGATTTCATGCAACTCTCAGGACTTTAGAAAACAAAATGGTAATTGCAGTATTGCTTGGAAATAGATTCGATTTTTTAAAGGGCTGGTAAAGCTACGACCGATAAAATGACTGAAAAGCCGTCGGGAAAAATAACTAAAACATAACTCGCTGAAGGTAAAACCACGTCTTTGAAATTGTGGGTGTTTTTATGCTTCTAAATGCATTTCCTCACTTTCTCTTGAATGATAATCAGACAATCTCAAATGAAGTCTCTTTAACATTCTTTCATTTGGCCATCATTCGCTGGGAATTTTGTGCTTTAAAAGCGAACAAGATTTCTATTTGACACTCGCCGGTGGTAATTTGCACATCGTGTTTATGATTTGTTGGTTTCGTCTGTTCAGTTGATTCGGTTTTGGGAAATGTTTATTGGTGAATTTCTGAAAAGATTATTGTTTCGAGTAAGTGATAAGAATTTCATGGGAGCTCCGCCTGGCTAAATCCCATATCAATTAATCTTGAGCCCAGATCTCCCACGGCCAAGCGTCAAACAGAGTAAGATC